AGCGGATTAGGGTTTTTCGTCAATTCGAGATTTTAGTGGCCAATTTTTCATCGATTTAGTCAACTCTTTATTGTAGTTCATATATGATTATATACTTAATCCATGATAATTCTATGATTTATTTTGTGTGATGTAAATTTTAATGGTCAACATAAGTTCATACAGGGAAAGAACATCTCAATATTCATAAATTAATGAAAACAATGAAAGTTAATAATGTAGTACCCTTATTTCTTATTGGATTTCTAAAAAATAATATTTATAATAAATTTTAATAATTTTTTTGGATTTTTTTGAAGCTTTAATCCGACCGATTCTCGATCCGAATCACCGATTCGTCGATTCGGATAGATTTTTGAAATGCCTGATCCAGGTCATCGATCTGCTTTTTAAACCATCGATATAATCCATTTTGGCAAAAAAAAAAAAAAAGAAGAAAAAATCCAAACGTGAAGTACATGAACATCCTCTTATTGGTGGTTGGACGCTGATGGCTAGCCAGAGCTTAGGGCACACGATTATAGTCATGTCAGATCCTAGCGAGTCTCCGCTCTCACCACTACCGTTGATTGGACAGTGATGACCCATTTGACCATGGGTGGACGCTTCCATATAACTTCCCACCTTCTATTTCCTATCAAAAAAGGAAAATAAAAGAAAGGAATTTCCTGAGGTGGCAAAGAATATAGTTGTCATTTCTTGAGAGTGCATTGCATGTGATGTAGAACTACGAGCCTTGAATTTTGTCGCTCTACCTAAAACTAGGGGCGTTGCAACGATCGGGTCGGGTATAGGTCCACGTGATATGAGACCCAGATCCGACTGGACTCAAATTCACCGGAACCGGACATGCAACTGAAACTATAGTGTGAGAGCGAGACCCGGACCCGGACCCTCCAAACCCCGTCTATTGTGCATGATCGGGAATCAGGCATGTGACGGGCATTTGATGCAAGAGCTACAATCCAATCTTGGTTTTGCTAGGTAGCATAAAAAACTCATTAAAGATTTTGTCCCTAGCTAAGGGGGTTAGCATGTAGGGACTGCAATTCCCATTTATTTTCTTTTGGGGTAGGTTAACTTTGTTTAGATCAGAGGAAACTTCCCTTCCTCTTCAAACTAAGTCTTGGCGTCACACCATTGTATGAGAAACGTAAAGAATGGGATTTTTCTCTTCCAAAACATGGCCATTTCTGTCCTGTCCACATGTTTACTATACTCTATGTGGATTATGGGGAATAATTTTATGGACAGGTTATTCTATGAATTTATGCCTAGGGCATCCAGACTACCCATTTATGTAAATGGTCCAAACAAAATTTCATTGAAGAAGTGGGTGGACCCATTCCATTGGATTCATCAACTGACATCAACCATAAAGAAAAAATAAAGTACCCATATTATTAAAAATTCATCTAAATGTTATTATAATAAGTAAGATAACGATCAACAAAGCACCTTCACTATGCTCCCTCGGGAGCACAGTTCACTTCTACTCCAGATGACTTGAGAGGATTTTTTTTCGATCTAAAATTTTGCCAACCATCTAAAAATCACTAGATGATTATTGTCAGCAAAAAAACAATATTAGAATTTGGGTTTTCTAACTCTTAGATCTCGCCTTGAGAAGACTTCTATTACATTTATTTCTTCAAATGCCTTGAAGTTAGAATTAAGAAATTCTTTTATTAATCTATCCGTTAAAAAGGTTATACCTCCAAAGTTTGGGATTTTAAAATTAATAATAGGTGGAGTTTTTTTAAAAAAACTAAGAGATATACAGTATACTCCCTAAAGAACAAATTAACTTTTAGCTTATTTATTTTGCATTTTCTCTTAATTTTTCCAATGATTTGGTCAGCGTGATTGAGACGAGGTAACTAGGATGGAATTTCAAACATACTAATCAAAGTTCCGTGCGCATGCAACTTGTATGGAGGGAGGAAATAAGAGTGTATGTTTTTGGAGAGAGAGAGAGTGTATATGCTTAGAGAGAGAAAGAGAAAGGGACTGTATATGTTTAGGGAGAGAAAGAGAAAGAGACTGTATATGTTTAGAGAGAGAAAGAGAGTGTACATGCTTAGAGAGAGAGAGAGAGAGAGAGAGAGAGAGAGAGAGAGAGAGAAAGAGAGAGTGTATATGCTTAGAGAGAGTGTATATGCTTAGAGAGAGAAATAGAGTGTACGCTTATAGAGAGAGAGAGGGAGGCGAATGCGTGCTTTCTTTAACATTGACTATTAATAAGGTGATGTACTTGAGTAACAGTGGGGTGCTTTTTCTTCGCCTTGGACCAAAGTTAAACTACTATTATTAGGAAAATGGCTGAGGGGCATTAGTGTCAGTTTTGAAAATATGGGGTATTTTGTTTTACCAAGGTTGATTTTGCCATGGATCTGAGCCAGAAAATGAATGAAGCGCGCCATTCAAGTGACCACACTCCAGATCCGTTGCGATTCACAATCCATATTTGGGCTGTCTTTTCAACGGCTCGTATTCAACCGCATGACTCAGCAACGGCGAAGATCGCGCTGCTACTCCAGACAAAACACCATCGGACGGTAGGTTCTAGGCCCTGATGGCCTTTTTCGTTTTGTCAAAATCGCATGGTCAAATACGCTAATTTTGACGAAAGAGAGGGCAGTATGGTAGGCGGCACAAGAATGAACCGATGAGGGCATTATGGTAAATAAATGCCGAATGGTGGGTCCATGGTCAATAAGGACATGGGCAGGCGTCAAAGGGTGAAATTTGAAAGCGGGGGGCTGCTGAGGCCGCTGGAAAAGGATGCGTAGCAAGACTTGCTCCCTCTAGAATCTTATTTTTTCTCTCTCTAGAACCTTTTTTTTTTTTTTTACTCTGGTTATAAAAATATCGCACTAAAGCGTACGAGCACACTCTCTCTCCAATCTCGAGCGGGCCGCTCAAAACTCTATTTCTCTCTCTAGAATTGTGTTTCTCTCTCTAGGCCGTCCATGTCGGAGCACCGCTCTGCTCGTTGGGCTGACTGACACCTATTGCTTGCTGCTTTAGAGAGAGGAAGAAAGTTAGACAGAGAGAGAGAGAAGGCGAATACAGAAAACTGCGTTTATGTACGCGCCGACCTTCATCTCTGCTGCATCGCGACGATACACTGCGCTGGCAAGATTCCCCCCCTTCTGTCCTCTTTCCCCTCTCCTCTGTCTCTCTAAAATGGCACCGAATTAAGGGCAACTTTTTTTCACTCCAGTCCCTTCCTGAAACCCTAGGTTTGGCGGTGCTGATGGTTCCCTCGAAGACAAAAGAATGGCTCCAGAGAGTTCTCCCTCTACTTTCGATCCCATCTCTATCCACTTTTGGTGATGGTTTCTAGGGCGTAGAATTCCATGGAGCTCTGTGAAGTGTGATACCAGGTTTTGATCATCGGGATTTTAGGGGTTTTCAGGCTCGCTCTCTCTCCCTGCCATGGGGTGTTCAAGCTCGAAGGTCGATGATTTGCAGGCTGTGGCCCTCTGTAGAGAGAGAACGCAATTTATCAAGCAAGCAGTTGATCACCGCTATGCCTTGGCTTCAGCCCATGTGTCTTATGTTCAAGCTTTAAGTGGCGTAGGGCAAGCTTTGCAACGATTCTTGGATGCTGACGCTCAGCTACCGCCTTCTTCTCCTGGTCTCACGCTACCTACTCAGAGAAAAAATGCCGAACCGGTTGATTTAACTCTCCCTAAATCCTCCCCACCTTCTCACTCTCACCATTTGGACCACTCTCACTCCGGTTCTCACCTCCACATCGATTCGGGTTCAGACGCTGAATCTCTCTCTGAAGAGCTAAGTCATGGTTCCTCTCCCTCTTATCCTGAGTACGGTATTCCTCAGTACAGTAATTCTGGTGATGTCTTTCCGTGGAATTTCCCCTCTCAGACTTTACACTACATGAGATCAGGCGGTGGAAACCCATCTGTTGTTTATGAAGAGAAGCCTCGATCCCCTGAAACTGAAACTGTTAGATGGTCAGAACCCTATTCTAATTACGGTATGATGGGTTATGGGTTTCTTGGTTCTCCACCAATGGGTGCTCCTCCTCCTGTACATCAAGTCCCTTCTTCTGGTCCTTCGACTTCTCGTAGTCCTGATCGAGCCCCACCTCCTCCTTCTCCACCGAAGGCCTCAGCTTGGGATTTCTTTAACCCTTTTGAATCGTTTGATACCTTCTATCCTTCTTATACACCGAAGAGGTTCAGTGTTCACTCTGACGGTGGCAGTAGAGATTCAAAAGAAGTGAGAGAAGAAGAGGGAATTCCAGATCTAGAGGATGAAAGCCAGGCAGAGGTTGTTAAGGAAATTCATGGAGATCAAACGTTTGTGTATGCTAAGAAGGTGCAGATCCATCCTAGTGAATCGGGGCTTGCAGATGGCGACAGAGAAACTGGAGGAGGAGAGGGTGAGTATGGCAAGGAAGATGATCCAGTGGAGTATGTAGTGCATATGGTTGATAAGGGTATTATAGACGAGGGGGGAGCCCAAGAGAGAGGCAATGTTGCAAATGTTTCCGGAGGTCATGGGGGACCAAGAGATGTATCCGATGATGTGAGAGAAATTCATGGCCAGTTTGAGAGGTCGTCGGATTCTGCGAAGGAGGTTTCAAAGATGCTGGAAGCTGGGAAACGGCCATATCATCAAAAGCGCAACGTATATAAAGGTGTGCTTTTTCTCCTTTCATTTCCACTTTTTCATGTGGTCTTCTGGTTCTTTGTTCCTGTTTTCTTTGTGACATTGGTTGGCAGAGGCTTGTGGGGATCTTGTTCATACTATTCACTAAACATTTAAATTCACTCGACATTCTTGTGAAGTATGCTAAGTTTTTAGACTGAACTCTGCAAATGCAGTAATTGAACCTTATTTAGATAATTCCTTTACACTGTTACACACCTCCGGTTGAAGAGAGGTGAAAACCCAGAAGAAGAAGAAAAAAAACCATTATTTGTCGAGTCTCATCGAATGGAAAATAATTTTCTAGGATTTTCCTTTATGAGATTTCCCAAAGATATTACCGAAATTCTTTTGAATGTTCACATAACATCCCATGCATGGAAGAGAGGTGAAAACCCAGAAGAAGAAGAAAAAAAAAAAACTATAATTTGTTGAGTCTCATAGGATGGAAAATAATTGTCTAGGATTCTCCTTTATGACTTAATTTGATTTCCCAAAGATATTACCGAAATTCTTTTGAATGTTCACATAACATCCATGTATGGGTTAATGATTTCCATCTTTAAGAGTTGGCCTTTAGATGTTCTTTTACTCCATTCACATTGGTTTAAGCCATCTCAATAAAATATAAAAATTGCTCCTTTTAGGTATATTTGTTTGCTGTACTAAGTTATAGACATATTCTACATCAATTTCCTCAAAAAAATTTTGGTGCAGTACTTCCTTCCTTTGGGGCATCTCCACACCTTTCTGCATCAAATCGTGACCAACCCTCATCCTCATCTGAAAATGTCGGCCCCAGTTTCTTGGCATTTGATGAAGACATAGGAATGTCATCTGGCAACCTCTCGTCAACATTGCAAAAGCTGTATATTTGGGAGAAGAAGCTTTACGAGGAAGTCAAGGTATGCTTGCTTACTATTACACATTTCACCTGTATCCATTAGATTGACCCTGTGGATCTTATTCCTTTCTATTTTACTGTTGTGTTCAGAGAAGTTTGGAAGTCAATGTGCCATGGGTACGATTTCCTTGAAAGGAGAAATTAAGATTAGTTGATCATGAAAACTCAAAAATACTTACTGAGAGTTTAATACTATGCAAATAGAAGATTGAGGTTATGATACACTTGATACTTGAAAGTGCTTCTATCATTTTCTTTTTTCATGTTTACTATTTAAATTCTTGTTTGGGAACCATATAAGTTGTACCTTTCATGGCATAGACTACCTATTGAAGAAGTTATTTGGAAGATATGGTAGATATAGTATTGATTCGCGGATCTAAATTGCTCTTTCCATGGATTTCTCTACTTCTAGTTGGAAAGAAGGTTTGGTTGGCTTGCCACTCCGCAATTTGGTCGACTGGTATGTAGTGATCTGCTATGGGCATCACATTGTTGGGGAGGCAATGTATGAGAATCATCGATTACAATTTACTGAGGACTTTCACTGTTTATGTTGGCTTATTTGGGCTCCAAATATTCACAGGGTGATCTTCAGGCAGAGCTTGATGCGGCCAGAAGTAAATGATCAGAATTGTGGGCAGTAGTTATGAGAACTGGCATGCCCTTGTAATTGGTTTTGCGGGTTACCTATTCTAATAGACTTGCACTTCATTAAGGAGTCATATGCATCATTTCTTTCCTAGAGGAATGAGAATCCAGGTTAGTGGGGCCCATCCATTGGGTCCTTTCTGAACTGTTGGACCATTGCATCATTATTTTTTACTCTTCTTTGGTTGGAAGTATCTGATCTCATTCGTATTTTCAAAATTGTGGTTATGTCATAGGGATTTCTGAAGAACTTGATGCAACCTGGGCATTTGGTTCTACATGTGGGTGGGGTGCTTCTTTATTAGAATAAAAATTAGATTGATGAAAAGGCTGCTGATAGTGAAGGAAAGATTAAAATTTAAGAACTTTCTTCTTTTTGTGGCATTGGAGATAGGAAGGCATTGTTTATTGAGGAATTGCTGCCCTTGCAAGAAGGGAGCAATGCATTATTATTATAGAAGAGAATAATATTAGGCAAGTTGAGTTTAGGAGTGTTGTGATATTGTGAGGGTAAAGATGGCTGTAGAATTTTAAGAACTTAAGCTCTAAGTGGATCAGGAAGGTGGACAGGAACATTAACTTCTTCTGTAAGATCGAGAAGTCTTGAAGCAGAGGCAACTTCGGTAGAATTACTAGATGTTAGGGATATATAAGATACTAGGATGACATGGAAGTTGTTAAAGTTGTTGTGGGTTTTTCTTTTGAAGACTTACACTCTTCTGAGGCCTCATGAGTTGTCAAGTGGGATGGTTATGGCTTTAATTTCATTATTTTTGCTGGGACCTTAATCATGGAGGGAAGGTTTGAGGTGGAGGAATTCAGAAGAGTGGTTTTTGCTTCAGCTGGGATACTCAACTATGATATTTTTCCGTTGAGCTCTCCCCTCTAGATTTCTTACACAAATATCAAGAGTGAAGTGAGGCGGATTCTGATAGTGGGTATGAAATTAGGGAGTCATGGCCAAAAAATAAGGCCTTCTAACTGTGACAATGTTATTTAGGTATGGTACCAATAGGCAATAAGATGAGAGAGAGTGGACTTAGGTGGAATGGTCATGTGTGGCACAGATCCAATACGACACCTATTAGGACATGCGAGTTAGTTCAAGTAGAATGCTCAAAAAGGGCAAGGGATAATTATGCCCAAAAGGATATGGTTGGAAGTAGTGAGAAAAAATATGGGAACTTATGGCCTCACTGAAGGTATGACCCTTAATAGAGCAGAATGGCGGACCAGGATTTGTGTAGCCGACTCCAATTCGTTGGGACAAGGATTTGGCGATGATGATGATGAACTGTGACAATGTTACAAATCTTGACCAACTTCCTTGATACAAGGCTGTAGGAAGTGCTGAGGTTCATTATATCACTGCTCCCTGGAAATTCCATCATGAGAGGCAGATCCTGGATGGTTCCATGATCTCTCATAAATGCATTGGTTCATACCGCAAATAATGAAAGCTTGACCTACTTGTTGAATTTGATCTCAAGGAGGCTTACTACCTTGCCTAGGGTTTTCTTGATTTCCTTATGAGCCTAGGGGGTTCAGAGCCAAATGGAGAGTTGGATAGCATAATCTTATCCAATTTCCATTTTCTATCATAGTTTATGGTGCTTGCCAAAACCTTTCTTCAGAAGTTTGAGATGTGTATGACTGGGTGCCCTTTATATTCCTTTTCACCTCATGCTAGTTGGAGCATTCAGTAGTTTTGTGGTTAAAACAACTGATGTTAGTTATGTTGAGGACTTTAAGGCGAGCTTTGTAGATGCTTCAATCACCCCCTTATTTGCCGATGACACCATCCTGTTCAGTAAGGAAACCCTTGAACGGACAAAGAATTTGATGGTTGTAATGAGATTCTTTGCGCTTATTTCATGGCACAAGTGAAGTGGACCACGTATACCATTACCCAAATTTGCTTTTTGAGAGTTGTTTTGATATGCTTTGAGCTTATTATGAGGTATGGTGTCTGTAGTCTCTTTTTACAGTCTATTGCATCTGACTTAGCAGGAAGCTAGGTGGATGGGTTTCCCAACTTGGGCTTCCACTGTGCAAGCAAAGCCTTGAAGTGTCTGTTAGATCTTGGGGTTGAAAAATTGGAAGGATTGGCTCCATGGAAATGATAAACTGATGCAGTTTGGGAAAGAAAATAAATAAGCCAGAAAAATAAAGATACAATTAAAGAGTGAGAGAATATACCCTCTTTAAGGATCTTTAGGGTAGTCCACCCCAAAAAGTTATTTTCACAAGACCCAAAAGAATTCTTTTCCTCTTCTCCCTTTTTGTTGATCCAAGAGTTATATATTTATAAAAGAAAGCATCATTAGAACCTAACTTGTTCCTTAAGAAACTCTAACTAAATCCCAACCCTTCATCTTTTTTTCTTAAAAAAATAAAGTTTCAATTTTATCCCTCTATTCTCTACAACCAAAAAATACACAAATAGCTGAAACCCAAAATAGCCCTAAACCTAAATTTCAAGTTCCTAACCCTCATGATTGCAACACAAAGCAAGTTCTTTGCCTTTCCATGGCTTGATTCTGCATTCCATCGGGCTCGGGATTAATTGGAAGAACTTGAAGAAGCATAGTTTGGAAAAGGAGTTGTGAAATCTCTGAATTTCAGTTGGCTAATTGGGGCAAGTCATCCAAAGCATGTTTAGTGGTCTTCATGTCAGTTCTCGTGAGGTAGGTAATAATAGTCTCTTGAGAAGTGGTAATTGATGGAGTTTGATGTTAATAACATGTGGATAAGTGCTATATTTTGTATTCTTATAAGCGGCTGTACTGTTGATGAGTGGCGGATCATGGGGTTGGTCTGTTGGATAGTCATAATTGAGTGTCAAGAGCTTGGGGAAGCTATCAGTGTTTCAAAATGCTGCAGGATGCGGTCTCGATGCGGTTGGGGGGCCTGGGGTCCAGATACAGGGGCATCACCCCGATGTGGTCAATAAATATACAATATTTCTAAAGGATCTCAAAAAATAGTTTAATGCATGAAAAAAATATGGAGGTGATTTATGTGATAGTAGGTATTTAATTTATTCATCAACTCCAATAGTATTAGCTGTCAGAGATTCTGTTTCCACTATCCCTTGGTAGATCATATAAGACGTTAGAAAGTAGAAAGTAGAAACTTTATAGAAGACAATAGAACTTCGAAGACATCATATTATCATAATTCATAAACATTCAAAAACCATAATCACAAATTCACAACTGCAAACTTTAAGTTACAAACTAAAAGTCTATGAAGAGTTCAAGAATCGAGATCAATCTCATTTCTCAAGTCTCAATCTTCTCGGCCCTTGAAACCCTCGATATGTTGTCAAATCTTCACGCAAACTTCTTCAAATAAACACCCAAACTAATCCCAATCAACAAGCAATGATCCACAAAGGCCAAATAGAAATATTTTCTCAAAAAAAGAAAGAAAATTCTGCAATTCGTTTTTTTCTATGATTGAATGGATAAATAAAAGCCACTTTCGTGGCTGTTTTTGATGTTTTAGGGGGGGTTAGTACCGTCCCAAACCTTTCCCCTCCCCCCCTTTTTGGGGGAAAAATTACTCAAATACCCCTTTTCTTGGGGTTTATTTTTGCCATCACAATGTGCCGCATATGCACTATGCGGTGGGATGTGACGCGTAAGCTGGCGCATCCCACCAAAGCGCATATGCAGTTATGCACTACTTTGCGATCTTTTGGCGTTGTGCATGCAAGGAGCCAAGCCAGAGGTGGCTAAGTCGGTGTTGTCTCAGTACAACTTTGGGGCATACCGCATGATGCGGCCGCATATGCAGCGATGCTGCCGCATTTTAAAACAATGGAAACTCTATTATCAAATGGGCTAAAATTTAGGAAACACATTAGAGTTAAGGATAGAAGATGGCTGTCAGTTTTGGTTTTGGTCTTACGGCTAGTGTGTGGGTGTTTCTTTCCAGGATTGTTTCTTTATTAGCATTTGTTCTGATTGCTTTGAGTTTAAGAGGATTGTGGGTAAAGGGTGTCACCTTCCCAAGAGAAATCTTTAGGATTCTGCTTTTTTTGTGTGGTTGTAAGTTATCTAGAATCCATTTGCCTTCATCTTTCAGTGGTTGATTCCATAGTTGCAGGGCCTTGTACTTAGGACAATGTTCCTGCTACTGAACCTTACTTGACTTGCTGCTCTGATTTATCTAAACCCTGAGCATAGTCATACATAGCAGTCTTTTAAAACTCGGCGAGTTTAACTTGGGTTGGCCTGAATTACTCGGGCCTGGCAGGACACCTGGTCTCATTAAAACCTCAGGAACGGCCAACTCTTACTGGTTCCCATGGTTTCTGTATTAATTTTTAATAGATGCGGGCTT